ATTAGAAAGCTATGAAAACTAATCAACGAGAGAGATCCACAATCAAAGGATCGTAGATCTGATCTCCCGCGGGAGACTGTAGAGTGTGATAGAGTAGGTTGCGGTAGTGATCCTACTCACTCCACGATCCAAAAACGGAACGCGTGGAAGATTCGCCTAGCATTTATCTAGTAGCGTGGAAGTACTCCACGCTGGCTAAATATCTAGAGCGATGTTTCATCATCAACCTAGTATGACTAGAGCGGTCATTGAGAACCCTGTCTCCAATGACTATTCGCGAAGGACTACGTCATGAGTCGAACTCAAACCCTATCTAGGATCGAGTCGCGAATAAGGCTAAGAGCCATGTATTGCACATGAAACTTAGAATGAAGGTGGCACAGTTGTTGTAGAGAATGTCATAGGAGTTCTCACTTGTCTCCTGGGGATGATCTTGCATGATGGTTTTCGCAGTGTGGAATGCTTGCAAGATCGCTTTCAGTGAAAACAATCCCTGAAAGTGGAACACATCATCCTGATCTCTGTTAGACTGATAACCAGCTTCTTCCACAATGATGGTTCTTCCCATTTCCCCACCATCATGGAGAACGAGCTTTTCATTGCAGAAACCAGCAGGGTCCCTGTCAGTGGGAGTGATCACATGATAGATGTGTGCGTCGGCGTAGGTTGCAATGGTATAGAGCTTGTCTGGACACAGATCCTGAAAAGACTTCCAGGCGAGGGTTTCGAATACAGGGCCTACGAGTTCTCGAGAACTTTTCCCCAAAAAACATAAACTTGGATTGGCATAGGCAAATCCTGCCAGTTCCAGGGAGAACTGACTTTTACTTTCTTGAACAATTAAGCCACCGTTCCAAAATAGAAACAGATTACTCACCGACAACATCAAGCACTGGTACCGGTACATCATTGTCGCTCGCAAAGGCTAACAACAAGTCTCCTCGCGCCTCCTATTTATGTTGCTGTCTTGGTACAACCGGTACCGGTACCAGCAGTGCTCTGTGACAAATGACTGGCTTTTTACTCAGGGTCTTTGAAGAAAGATCTGGAATAAATAAATAAATAAATAAATAAATAAAAAATAAATAAATAAATAATAAAATAAATAAATAAAATAAATAAATAAATAAATAAATAAATAAATAAATAAAAATAAATAAATAAATAAATAAATAATTAAATAAATAAAATAAAATAAATAAAATAAATAAATAAATAAATAAATATAATAAATAAATAAATAAAAAATAAATAAATAAATAGAATAAATTGACTCGTCACTCAGTTTGGATGTCTTGCCAGGATTCATCGAACGAAGAATCGAATCGAATCAGAATGACCGGTCACTTTTCCGGCCTTGGAGGCGAAATAAAAAGGCCAACGAGGATGCACTCATCACGGTCGGCGTGCGTGGCTGCATGAAAACATCATTCCTGCAGGACTAGCAGCCTCAAAAAACCATATCGTATGAATGTTCGAGTACCGACACTACACCGTTAACCCAAATCCATAATTGAACACCCTCCAAAATTCATTCTGCATTGTGTACGGTACCGCACCGTGAAGTTGAGTGCGCTGCCGCCTGTCAGAGTGGAGCGAGCTGGTGTACCAGATGCTATCAACAGTTGGGGGGGGGGTTGAACCAAGCAGTACAGGGCCTTTGCATTGAATCCAATATGCCAGTGTGAGACTGCCCTGAATCTTGCTTTGTTGTATTTCTTTTCTAAGTCTTTACCACTTTTTCTCTCGCTTCTGAAAGCTCCGGTTCAGTTGTTGCTGCTAAGCTGGACTCGGCTTCACCGACAGAATGCTCCTCGAAATCTCCAGACGGCAAGCAAACTTTCGTGTAACGACCACGTCGTATAACCGGGAGTTTCAATATTTGCTGGCAGCAGGTCAATGCAGTGCTCCCGCATCACATCTGCGTGTTTTCTTGTACCTGTTACGTTTGCACAGCAAAGACGAGGGATATCCTGTCAGCCATTGTCGCTCGCCCGAAACGCCCTAGAATGTAGCTACCCGTTTATGGTCGATTCGAGCGATGTCACCATCATCGTTACCTTTATTGTGGAGGTTACACTATCGGTACCTCCTGGAGTGCTGCTATTCAGGGCTACAGTCGTACTTCTCAACATCATTCCTTCCTCTGCGTTTCCTGCCAGTGCAACTTTGAAGCCTTCTCTCCCCTTTCCACGCTGTGGACAATCGAAAGCGTGGGAATATATTTTTTGTTTCTATGAAAGCGTTAGGGCTACCGGTATGCTGACGTACTTCCAATAACGCTTCCACTCAAAGCCACGACAATCTCACCCCCAAGGAAGATCCCGATCCAACCCCCAATCCATCACCGTGTGCTCTTGCTAGCTAGAGTACTAGTAGATCCAATCCAAATTACAGCAACAAGAGCAAGATGATGGTCTCTTGGCTGCAGACTTTGTGTTTCTTTCTGTCGACACCATTGTCAGATTCCTTCTCCCTGTTCTCTGTGGCTCCAAACAACCGATGGACCAGTGCCACTCGCACAAGCCGTCTCCTTGGACAACCGGAAAGCACTGCTGATGGCATTGCTTCCACCTCGAGGAGTGGAATTACCAGTGCCAAAGGCTTGTACCGTCCCTTTGCGGAGCATGCCTGGTCCACGTTATTAGAAGATCCATCCTTGGAACCAAAGGATGACATCCCAGAAGAATTGTTGATCAATACTGCCGTCGCCAAGGGATTTCCTCCCGATTCCATAGTACGAATGGAAACACGGGCGTTGATACCCACCCAAAAAGACAGCTCCATTCGATATGCTCGCTATGCACTCTTGGAAACTCTGGTTCCCAATAATCACGACAATTCGACAGAAGGCATTCAAGTTCTCAATTTGGTCATTTTCCCTTCCCAACGGAATCTTCCCGTTTTTGGAGCGGACATGGTCAGTTTGCCGGGTGGCAAGCATTTGCTACTGCTAGATGCTCAACCCATGGCACAACAAAGGCAATTCCAGGAACACTGGAACCAGTGGCATGAAACACATGTACAACCACAATTTCCATGGGGTGGAGACATGCCCGAACAGGTCCAACAATACGTGTCGGACAGGGCTCTATGGACAAGACTAGTATCCGGCAGCAGCAACGATGATGAGGGTGAACCAACACCCATTCACAAGATTCAAACCCAACTATGGGATGCCTTTCAAGAACATCTGGAGGTGTATTTGGACCTCTTGTTGGCAGAATCTGCAAACGACAATGAGGACGACGGTGGTGATGATGATCCACAAGGACCCTACATACAGTATCGGCTTGAAAATGATCCTGCACGGCCCATGCTAAAATCTTTGTATGGCGAAGAATGGACGGAACGAGTGCTGCATGAAGTGCTCTTTCCGCAGCCTCAGAAAACAAGCTAATGGCTAAAACGCAATGTGAAACGCTCCAAAAACAAGCCCACAACAAACTTGTCGTCTACAGCTCTCGTTACGAGCCCAGACACACACTGCAATAGGAAATTTCTAAGGAATGCAATAAACCAAAATATTTGGGGCACTCTCTCAATAGCGTCTAACCGCCTCTGGCTCTCAGAATGAGGCCGAAAACGGGCAATGAAAGGGCAATCATGCCGAAAAGCTTCAAAAGCACTTCGTAGCATAGCGAAACCCATCCTGTGCTAGAAACCTAAGAGGCTAACGAATGCGTATTCATGCCTGATATCTACGCTTCGATTGGCTAGAAGAAGGTGAACCATCACCTTCGTTGAAGCATGTGGATTGCTTCTACCGGTACTAGCTAGCGTTTGCTTCCACCAGTTTTTGAACACATCCTGTTGCCGCTTACGACTGTCGCTGTTTCTTCTTTTCCGGCTCCGCATCAACAGGTGCCATGATGGTGCACTTCGTCTTCACATCAGGCCCATCGATGATTTCCAAATCGTCGACATCATCCAGCATTGCCATGTCTTTTTTGTCCTGTTCGGAATCTACCTCTCCAATGTCACCGAAATCGCTAATGGTTTTGATTTTGCTCTTAGCTGCGTTGGCATGTTTGACAAACTTGTAAACACGTCGCTCCGTCATCATAATACCTTCAATTTCTTGATCATCCTCGTCGTCTTCATCCTCTTCCTGTTCGAAATAATCTGCCATACCCTTCTTATCAATGACATCCCGGTAGAGTGCTTCCGTGACCGTGCAGATGTGGAGACTGCCATTGTATTGCAAGTTGGCCTCCAAGTCCAGTGCAACCACTGGCCAAGCACTGCCTTTGTCGGACTTGGCACAGCACCAGAAATGGGACAATGCATTGCCGTGCTCATCTAGACCCCACTCCAAATGAAAAGCATGTTGTTGGGGCCACACTCCCACGTTTTGATATTGAGAGTGGGGCTCTTCCAACAGCGAAGTGTGATATCTCTCTTGTAATTCCTTGATACTCTTGGCCATATCCTTGGGGGTTGTCAATCGGCAGGTATCATTCAACCAGGAACCAGTGGTTCCTACCGTGTTGGTCAATAGCTTAAAGTCAGCCGGAATGGTAATGTTGAATTCTTTCTCAAAAGCTTCCCACTCGGCATCCGTGGTACAACCTTGAAACTCCTTGACAGTCTCGGAGCGTCGCAACAAGATCCGAGCCAACGGTGCCACCAGGTCAATGCCGCGCTGCATCACCTCTGGCTTCAAGGCAGCTTCTTCATACGTACGTGCTACTCTCTGTGGCATGATGGTTGGTTGTTGTTGTGGCTCTCAAATGAGGTCAGTGGCAGAGCAATGAGCAAGATTACAAGATTGCGCAAAAGGAAGGCATTTTCCAACCCTCACGCCGATCAGACCCAACGCTCTTGGCAATGTTCAAGGAGTGGCTGTGCCAACATTGTTGCCGAAAATTTTGTTCCATATTGTTCATGTCTCCTACAACAAAGAATGTGGAGATTGATCATCCTTAGCAACCAAAGCCAAAAAGTGACCAAAGAAAGCTCCAACAGGGTTCGTTTGGTGGGGGGGAATCCTGATTGCCACGTCAGAATTGCGTCTCAAACAGCTACTGAAAATTTTATAGTGGTATCTTTGTTCCCAGTCTTGCATTTTGGATCTTTTTCTGTTTTTAGAAGGCAAGTCTCAGTTTTCTACGGAATTCGACATGTTACTTCGACCATGGCGTTTCTGTTGTTGTTGCTCCTTCTCTTTTCTGGGCTGTGTCAAGCCCAACAGTGTCAATGTGACGAGGACGTTTCACCTGCTTTGCTAGATTTCCTGTTGGCTACCGATGACAATCATTTGGGCAGCGCGTTGACCGTCGAAAACCACGATGACAGCAATTCTTGGTTCTCCTTGGTGCACTTTGATGACACGGTGGGTAATCCCACGCTTCATTATCGCTACTGCGAATTGCCTCGTCACATGACGGTGGGAACTTGCGGTCGATACTCTGGAGAAAGCATTGCCAGTGGCAGCATCAATTATTGCTATGATTGGCTCTTGGCCCCGGCTCCGGTTTGCACAGGCTGGAGGACCCGTACGCTCCCCGAAAGTCAAAACTCCCGTGCATTTGCGGCGGCACCCGAAATTCTGTTTGAAGGGACTCAGTGTCAAGATCAACTACCTGCGGAGATTGCTACTTCGGGAGGATGCTACTTCGGGAGGATGTCCCCTGCTCAACACTGACGAACCACGAGCAGTCCTGGCTTTTGCAGAATCAGGAACCATCTGCATGTCGTTTCAACAGGCAGATTATTCCTACGGCGATACTCTGTGGACGGAACAAACAGAATGCTATAGTTTGCAAGATGCTTCGAAACACCATCGACTGGTCTTGGAATCAAGAAGAGACACCCAAGTGGAATCACTCTTTGTTGAGTTTTCCTTGAAAGAACCCATTGATGGCAACCACGACGTCCAAGGTGACTACCGATGTGGAGCTGTCGAGGTTCAGAATGCCTGTCGTTTGACCAATCGGAATAGGTTGTTGGGCGTGTATAGGTGGGTCCGGGCTGAGGAATTGCCTTATGAAAATTGTACCAAACATCCCAACACACTTGGACCATCGGTCGGGGTTCTAGAAACACTGGGAGACGCGGAAGATGAAATCTTGTACTTTGATGATAAGGAAAATCATTGGCTTTTGCTGCAACACACGCACTTCTGTTCTGGGACTTCCTTCTACCACGCCAAATTTCAACCGGGCGCAGACACCATTGCCTGCTGGAACAACACACAGGATGGACTTAACTCGGACATGCCAGTGGATACTCCCTTGTCCGTCGCTTGTCGACCAGCGGACTATCAATATCCTCCCAGTCAACAGCGCTGCGATATGCTACCCAACGACGTCCAGGGTGTCATTTTTTCCACGGACTGCATCGATGGCCACACAGCCAGACTCGATTGGACACAATGTGAAGCCGGCCATCAAATCACAAAGTCTGAGGCGCTCCTCGTGGGATGTGAAGCAGTAACTGGCAGCAGCACATCCCGCTGTCACGTGCAGCAGCGAGAGCTACGTGTGTGCCGAAACCAACGATCCTGATGAAGCTTGCAAGCTAATATGGCCCCTCTACTCGGATCCACCGGAAAGTCCTTCTTGCCCAGCCAATGCCGTTGCATATGGCTCGACATCTCCCAGCGTTTCCGAAAAGGAGTATCAAGTAACCTTTCTCGAATGCAATGCGCAAGGGCAATATCGCAGCAATGCACTGTTTGCCACTACGTGCATGGATCAATACGGACCTGAGTTTCCCGTCAATATCCACGATTGTGGAGGCAAGTTCGACGTTTGCGTTACAGGCCCCATCGACTGCGATGCATTGGCCGAAGCTCCCGATGTTATTGCATTTCACCAGGATGGCCCCAACGCACCGCCTATCACTAGCAATGGCCCAGCAGGTAGCGGCGGCGACGCCGTACCCAGTTCTCCGTCTACAGATAGCAACGGCCCGGGAGGTGATGATGGTGCATACCGCTCCTCCAACTTGGGGACGAGCAGTGGGGTGGGCATTGACGGAAGAAGATATCAGTGGTTTGGTACTATTTGCACAATCGGTGTGTTTCTACCGTATGGCATACCGGTAGCCCCCTGAAGAAATAAAGTCAATTGTGTCTTTCATTCATACTACCGTACGTTGTTGTGGCTGTTAGAAAACGATCATGTTGCCGATGTCGTGGTTGTGCTATTGCCTACGGTACCAGTAAGCAATTTTGTTTTTGCGGATAAGACCTCGTCATCTATTTGCAGCCCAAAGCCCATACCGTAGTAACCTCTTCGTGCACATGGTCAGCGACGACCGCTTACACGCCAGAGCTTGCTCTAGCGGTACTCTGGATGCTGTTATGATTACGAACTACTAGCTAGTACGACTACAACTACTATAAAGAATGAAGCCATCAGTTTGTTTTAAAAGATTGTCTACTAATGTGTTATTGTTCTAGGTTTATAATGGTTGTATTTTTAAGATTGTAGCATCAACAATGATAGAGGTTGGTTGTCGGGTGTCACGGGTATTAACTTTGGACTTTCGTCGCGTGGAGGACGTTCGGACAAGCACTCTGCAATAGAGGCTGCCTAGCACAGGAACCACAAACCTGGCTACCTTCGATGTGACCCTTCAATTGAACCAACTGTATTCATCTCCGCAAAATTGTTGTATAGCCCTGCACCCCACCAGATGCTTGCTCGTTGTGTATTGTATTGTGTTAGTCCCAGCAATCCGGCGTCGTCGCTCCACTTACCTGTTGTGCTAGACTGGAATGTACCGGTCAGGCTTTCTGACTTGCCGTCCAGAAAGAGTTGTTGTTGTCTGAACTGTTGTTTGCTGCTGTGTGTCCGTCACAGGTTGTGTCGTCGTCGTCATCTTCTTCTTCTTGCCCTTCGCCTTTGGCTTTGTCGACTTTTTCTTGGTGGCCACCGCCCCTCTACGTTTAATTCTAGGTTGTTGTTCAACTGCCACCCGCCGTGGCTTTGTCTTGATTTGTTCTGTGATTCTCTGAGATGCAATCGCTGCCATGCGTCTCTTTGATCGTCGCAAAGTTGATTTTACTGTGTCCACGTTGTCCTCCTCGTCGGCTCGGTTGTCGACTAGTGGTTCATCAGCATCAACTTGTTGTTGTTCCTGGACCTCGACCAGTGGTTCTTCAGCTTCCACTTGGCCAGTCACGAATTCGGAATCCGCATCTTCCGAGGCAGCGCCTGCCTCCAATCGTAGTGTCTTGTGCCGCCGCATCATTTCCTTCACAAGGTCTCCACCATCCTTCATCAAGGCTGTGAGAATGTCGTTGGGTACCACTCCAAGTAGCACACCATTCATAATTCGCATCTCCAATACAAATAGTTGTTGTCCATGCACACTGATCTGGAAGTGCTTCACACGCCACTTTTGAACGTATGGGACCACTGCTGTGCATGTGATTGTGGCATCGGATGCCATCTTGTTGTCGTCGACGGTCGAGACTGTTTCTATTGTCTCGACATCTTTAGTTGTTGTTGGTTGTTGTTCTACTTCTACGGGTGCTGCATCTTCCATGCAGACTTCCTTGACCTTGCGATATACAAATCGTCGTTTGGCAATCTGTTCTCGCGTATTCAAGGTGCAAATTTCGTCGTCAGCGTTGCGCTGAATTCCTCCGAGATGCAAGTGGCACATGGCGAGTTCGAACATATAAGTGTCCTTTTCGTTGACCATGAACCAATGCGAGACTTGCTTGTCGTTTCCTTTCTTCGCCTGGATGAAACGAACAAGTCCCTCGAGGTCTTGATGCACGGCATCAATTTGAATGTACAGTTTGGCTTTTTGTAGGTACGCTTTGTCGCTTTGGAACCATTTGTTGTTGGTGATCCAGCGGGCCACTTGTTGGTATCCATACTCTCGAATCAACTGCACGAGATCCAAGACGCGTTCGTGGGGTGTGGGTGTGCCGACGGATATGAATTGTTGTTGGGCTTCCTGCCGGAATTCGTATCGGGCTTGTGGCACTTGTTTGTTCATGTCTCGATAGACGCGACGGTTTTCAGCTTGTTCGCTCTCATCAGAAGAGTACCCCACTACAGTGTTGACAGGAGCAAAGGATAAACGGTTTCCATTGCTCCGTTCGGTGTCTTGACCATAATGGGCCTTCCAGTGAGCGTTGGCTGATTGACTGGGTTGGATGCGACAGCCTTTGGGCCGGTGCTGGTTGTATTCGTCGTATCCGTAGTGACCATGCTGATCCGCAGGAACCAGGGAAAGGTCGTAGGCACTTAGGTAGCGACCGTGCTGCTGGAACTCCACATCAGGATGCGTTCCGTGCAACTGTGCCGCGGTCTCAACGACCGACTTGTCCAACTCATCCAGTTGGAACATTGGGACTTGCTCTGTCACAGGAACATCATTGTTGTTGTTGCCCGTCATCTCCTTGGCGACCTGGAGAACGGGGGTCTTCTTGGTGTTGCTGTTGTTGTTGTCGGTGGTCCATGACCACGATAGCAGCTTAATGATAGAAGAAGAGAACTTCATTTTGCAATTGATAGGTATTGAATAGAAGATTGATAGAAAAGGTAAAAGTAGACTTGAATAAGGTCTGGGGGGTTGATCTGGCCTAGGCTTATCAACAATCGCGAAAGTCTTCCTTGTTCGGTTGGGTATGCAACTCTAGCAATCCGGTTGAACAAAAAAGTGAGCTCATCATGGTGACCTCCGAATCGGGATGACAGATTCTGCCTGATGTTGGGATGACAGATTCTGCCAGAATGGAAAACGACATGTGATGAGATGAGACTGAGCCACTGATGAGTGCCGACTTTGGACCCATAGCACCCTATAACACACTTCCTAGGGCTGGCGCCCTTGGTTAGTGTTGTCTGATTGCTTCTCTTTGACTTTCATGGTGTTGGATCGCTTGTTGCGGTGTTGTGGTGTGAGGAGGCTGTCTTGAGCTGCGGACGCTCCGGAGGCTGCGGACTGGCGGATCTGTTCGATGCCTGCGGAGAATATTTCGAATGTTCAATCGAATCGAATAGAATCGAATCTTCTTTCGAATCGAATTGACTCAACATCGAATGACATTCATATGCCCTCTGGGTCGTCTCCGTTTCCAGTACTAGTTTAACTCGTTTACTAATACAGGATTATGGTGAATAGAATCGAATGAATCATGTGGCTTATATTTAGGGTTTAGGTTTGGCAATTTCCGACATCATGACTCACCTTGTGACGGATTCTTGGATCGATCAAGGCGAATACCGCACTGTATCCGAAATCCTCAAGGACGACAAGGGCCATGTGTACTCTATTTTGGCCTCGTGGTCAACTCCCGGTTCACGTCTTACGTCCTTGGTTTCACCGAAACAACCTTGGATGCATCGGACTTCGGTCGCATGCGGGCCATCACTGGTGCCCGTCGCAACATTATTACAAGCCACTACGCACGCACACCATCCCCGCCCCCACCTCTACTCCACCAGTTCGCCTTCAAGCTGCCACACTGGCCCTTCCCCATGGTTTTGCACTACCCCCCGGCATGAACTTTGAGGCCTTCTTGGGAACTCTTCTCGAAAAGCACCAGCAGGAGAACGGTGGTAAGTCTCCTACAGTAGCTTCCCGTATAAATCCCCCGTGCCCTCACTTTCAAATCCTCAATACTGGACCTCCCGATATTATTCGCAAACCATTCCCAGTTCCAATGCAACCAAATACGTCATCTCCCGTTCCACCTGTTCCACGAACCACGTCGGCCAAGTGTCACCTGCGAATAGTCAGAATGATGACACTCCACTAGGTATGAAGAAAGCTGCCGAACTTCTCACGATCCTATTACGAATACCCAGTACCGAAGAAGAGCGGGAAACAGAGAAGAAGAAGACACCAAGCTCCCAGCGGAAGCGAGCCAACCCTCCACTTAACACATACTATCACACAAAACTTTTACAACCTCACATATACCACGTTGACTTCA